TCCAAGCAAAAAACTGCTGAATCATGGATAGAAACCATGTCTATAAATTACCCCAACCCCCAATCCACAATGATTCATTTACTCAAATTTTCAGATACCGAAATTGATGATCATACGTGGAAATACACTTTGGATAACGAAATATGCGGCGGGTGAGTAATAATTTTATCCTTAAATCTCCCCAATTATCCAAAATCCACTTATTCCAGACAATCCGTTGTCGGCTTTGGCAATGTACCCATTCCATCCAAAGATAATATTGCTAAACTAATCGATAGGAAACTAAGTATTCGTGCTATAACATGGAATATCAATGAAAAAGTGAGTTCTTCGAAAAGTAATTAGCTTTTTTCTCATTGATGTGAAAATCTTGATAAACAATCAGGAGCTCTAATTTGAAGCCTATTCATCTCAGTCAAATAAGGTAGCATGTACTTGAACTGCTCTTCACTAATGAGGCAAATCCCTACAGCCGGAAAATTCTTGCGCTTTAATTTCTTTATCGGTTAATTACTACTAGTCTGGGCTACAATTGCCGGATCAAAGTACTCATATACAATTTTCTTACGCTTGATTTCATTCTTAGTGAACTTACTGCATGAAAGGGACAAAAAGGCACGATTGAGTATAATATCGACCTCATTTTTCGCAACAAATTGATTGCCAGAGACTTTTTGAACAAGGCTACAATCAGCTTACATACACGATAGAGCGGCCTTCAAAGCTGCACCATAAAAATTTGTCCAAAAATTCAAAATTTCCCCAAAAATGTGGAAGCTTAAGGAAAAAGCATTTATAAATGTGGCATTATTCAAATCTTGTAGACCAATTTTCAGGAAGAACTTCCGGCACTAAAGATAAAAAAAATTATGACGCAAACACTTCCGCAGTTTTCCTAAGAGAGCAATACATTCTGCAAGACGCAAAATTGCCCCTATTTGCCACGAAACTCCGGTCTAATGTGAACATAAGGGCCTAATATGCTTTTCTAATGTTAGACCAAAGCTCGGAAAAGACGTACTTTCATTTTTTCCGAGAACTTTGGTCCCAAAACAGATTTTGAGTAGAACGAAATGTACAATCAAAATGTCCACTACTGATTTTCTCAGCAAACACTTTGCTGAACTTATGACGCTTAATAGCCTTTTCTAATGTCAGATCAGAGTAGAGGATAACATCATTTTCGTTCTTTTCATAAGAGACATGACTCGTAATGGAAACGTACAAAAAAGAAACTCATGAGACCAGAAAAGAAATGAATTGATACAGATGGTGGCTGCGAAAAACCTAGTTATATAATCATTGTTGATTTTAGACCTTTAAACTTATATATTGTTTCATTTTCAGCCTGTTA